AGTTAAGAATCTTCTGAACGCTGGTTTTATTGACTGATGAAGAAAACTAAAGATATGAATGAAAAAAAATTGTTGGCTGTGGATTTCAGGGTATGAGAAATGAAATAATTCTAACTTTGGCATGGGCCTGTGTCCAGAGCTGAATAATAGTATTATCAGTGGTAATGCAAGAAACTTCCAATAAATGGAGCACTAGTGCTCCATAGCTCAAAAAGAGCTTAATGACATGTTCATTATATAGCAAAGACAACTACGTTTTATCCACCAGGAAGAAATAGAGTGTAATAAATAGCTGCTTCCAAGTGTAGACAAATGACTAACTGCTATAAAGACAGGGGAAGACCCGTGCACCTAAAATAAAGCTAATGTTGGCTAATACTTTGTGAGTGTTCTGGAGGATTTCTTGTTCTGCCCACAGATAAAGGATTGATGGCTTAAGAGAGCATCAATCCAAGAAAAAAAGGTGAAGATTGTACATCCAGGGATGTTAGAGACCATCTTTTTAGTAATAAGATGAAATGCAGTCACGCTGCATAACAATGTACGTGTGAGTAGGACTAAAATCAATGTTAGGCTTGTAAAACAGAGCGCATAGACAAAAGCAGTACACAGAGGAAACAAGCAGATATTGACTTTGTATATGGCAATTGTGAGACTGACACCATTTGGTCCAGTGCTGGTTTTCGTCATTTAAAAAGGACCTTAAAACACTGTCTTTTTTGGGGAAAAAAAAGTCAAACAATTACATGAAAAACTGCTGGACTTGGAGATGTATCTAAAAGACAACAACAAAACTGCAAAAAAACCCACAGCATAAGCTTCTATATTTCTGTTGTCCAACCCACCTAACTTGCAGTGAGCAACTAGTATTGTTTTCCCTTATGGGATGGTTGTACATTTAGAAAAAATGAGCAAGGTGCACTTTTGTAAGGCTGCATTATCAGTTATGCAGCTGCAACAGATTCCAAATATAGGTGACTGAGAAGCTGTATGTAGCAGTGGCTGTACGTATCAGCAGCAGCATCCAGGGGTACCATGCTGTACCAGACTGTAATCACTGAGCTTCTCTTCCACCCTCTGTTCACATCAGTCTATTGGAATCCAAGCCACATACTTTTTATTTCCTTCCCATCTTCTTTTTGAGGATAATTGCTGATGTGAAGATTCCTGTCCACAGATCAAAGTTGGGTAGATCAGTTATAGAATTGGTATTTACTCTGACATCATTTTTACAACTGTTGAAGAAAGAAAAAAAAATCTGTAGATGGTAGACTGAAGAAAGTAAAAAAGGCACTAAGGTACCCGTTTGATTTCTGTTCTTCTCCGTTGGGATGATCTGTGTGTAGCAAAGAGGAAAGCTTTGTTGATTAATTATGTTAATGTGTAGTAAAATACGTGGTTTTATCTAAATGCCAGTAATTCACTTGTGCAGTTGATATAAAGATTTGTTAAGGACAGAGACCGGAATTTACTTCTCTTGAAGTAAAATAACTACTTGACTGGGAAATATTTTTTAATCTGACTTTTAAAAAGTACCTTTCATCTGCACAGTCACTGATCCTTTTGCTAATAAGTATCTAAATATGATTATACAATGTCACCAAAACAGAATGGAAGGTAAAAGAAGATTTTTTGTTCCTATATTCACATGGATTTCATAAGATCTAGATTTTATGGTGGGTCACACTGTAAGCTGCAGTCTGTACCAGCACATGTGGTAAGATAAAAATGAAGGATGAAATAGTACTAAGATTTGCTTTTGTAATGTCGGCACTTAATGTATGTATTAGGAATATCTATTATTCAAGCATCCACTGCTTTAAATAAAAAAACCCCTGTGAATTCATAATTTATGAATCTCAAGTCTACAGAGGATAACTCTCTAGTTAAATCTTATAGTATGTTACCTCAGTAGCAAAGAAATGACTTGACATGAGCCATAGAACATAATTGGATTGTAACTCACTTCTTATGCTGTAAATCAGCCCATCATTTCTACAAACCAGATTTCTGAAACACTGGTTGGCTTATTTCTTACTAGCATTCCTGTAAGTTTATAAGATTAAATACTACAACATTTTATTCTATATTTCTATAACTTTTTTTAATCACAAATGTCTTATTTTTTATAAAATAATGGTGAAAGCATAGAGCAAAGAGTGACTCTCATTAATTTCCTTTCTTCTCTGTTTTAAATTAATATTTGTAAAATCGAAATGAAGGTGTCACTACTTATACAATTTCCCAGTGTTCATGAGGAGCGTTCCTTTCTGCCACATCAGTAGAACCAAATACTGCAGCAGGAGCACTATATCCATGTCTGCTGGGGCTACCTGAAACTCCAGTAAAAATCTAAGTGTATTTCCTCAGCCAGCACACAGGAATTTTGGAGTCTTGAGGTGTTTAAGGTACTTGAGACGCTATAGCTGCTTGTCACATGTTATTATGAAGCAACATGTTCCCAAGGAGCAAAGAACCAAGCAGTCACTGCAGCTGCAGTTGCAGTTTTTGATGCCTGGATGATATGTGCTGTCATCATCATGGATTGCACTAGAGAGTCCTGCTTTGAGGCTTCTTCCTGATATGTTTTTTAGTTGATTTTGCCTTTGAAAACAGATTTATTTGTTGGATTAAACATGGTATAAATAGCCAATTTCCATTTCTCTATTGTTTTTTTCTTGTTGGTATCTATGTGTAACATACAGACTCTGTAGTTTGTGAGCAATACCCAAGATAATGTCAGATCTCACAAAATAGTATTTAGAAATTGTTATTCCTTTTAATAATTTGTTTTTTAGCATTTTTTTCAGTAAGCTTTAATAAAAGTAAAACACTGTGACTGAATATTTTTTCAGATAACAAGGACATTTTCACATGAGTTGTTCCATAACCTTCATCACTGTGATCCATATCTTTCTTTCTCTACTGCTTATAAGTGTAAGCAACAAATCCCAGCAAAGGGAAGATGATAAAAACAAATACTTCTAAATATACAACTGTTTATATATATATATTTAATCCAAATTTTTACTTTTATTCAGAACATTCAGACCTGATTTATGTTTTGATAGTTTCAGAACACATCAGTGAACATGCATTTAACTCTAGACAGCAGATGCATATGGTATATGTCTAACCTACAGAATGATAAAAATGTGTGTAGTTTTACCAGAAGCGATGGTAATATTGCAAACAAGTTACACTTGGAATCTAGACAATTTTGTGAGCTGCTGTATTATGCTATCAATAATAGATGACAATCATAGATGACTGTCATCATAGACGATAGCAGTGATTCTTGCTGCATGTTTTTCTATAAATAGCACTCTACTAGACTACAACTTGCAGTCCTATTATCTTGTAATAAAAGAATAAGAGGAGGCAGAGTTGAAGTAAAAGGCAGTAAATTTAAAATCAAATGAAAAAGTAATTTTTCCACACAATGAAAAATTAACTATAGAAATCTCCGACACAGGTCACAGAACCAAGAATTTAGCAAGATTAAGACTGGATTGGCCATAGATACATGTCTGGCATTGTGACACTTGCACAGCATCTTTGCAAGTGTTTTCTTTAATATTTTCTACTTTTTTTTACTTAAGTAGCTACTTAAGTAGCCAAATACATTATGATTGCATTCAAACAAATGAAAGGATATTAAATACTACTTCTCCAGGCTAGAGGAGATCTGGATGAAGGCTGCTAAGGCGCACACATAAATCTGCTTGTTAATGTTTTACTTTCTCTCCTGGAGCTGTGTTAGCAGCCACTGGATGAGACTTAGCTCTGCTGGACTTCAGCCGGAGCAGCTCCTGTGCCCTTCTGCAGCTGTCATCAGAGTCTCTCCCATTACCAGTGTTCATTCTTCTTGCTGTCTTTTTTGTCACAGATTGGGCCCTTTGGCTTTTAAGACTTAGCACAAGGTAGCTTGCACTTGTTAAAGAGTGTCTTCTTCTGTTTGTGTGTGGGAAATGGTGTCCTGTGGGTTGCAGAAAATATGGGATGGTGCACTGTGCTTCACATGTGTTGTACACTTCCTTGCAGGAAGGTGATTGCAGTAACTCAATGACCAAAAGGGTTTATCCAGAAAGGGGCTTGCTTGCACAGAGGAATGTATTGTAGCCTTACATGCTTATTCTTTGATTTCTCTTATCCTGATGTCTGCTAAAACAAAGATTAATGAAAATTATAATAATAAATCAAACTGGGGATGCAGTAAAACAACAATCTATACTGACAGCACTCAGCACTCCCTTGCAAGTTCGAAATATTAAAAATGCTTCTTAGCATAAATGAATGAACACCTCTTCTTTCATACTCAATCATGAAATAGCTGAAGTAAGGAAGAAGTTTTCTTAATTTAAGTTGGAAAGATGGGATGAAAAATGGGAGTAATTTTCCACGGGCACTTGAGGAGGTTTCAGTGCTAAGTGACTATTATTTTGATGAGTAACAAGGTGTAGCACAACAAAGGGTATTATTGACTTAAAGGCATTATGTTTAAAAATAATACTAGGCCATGCATGTTGATGTAGTGCAAAATGAAGCCACAAATGCTATAGATATGCATAATCACTGACACAAGTAGATAATGGAGCCATTTGGAGAACTATATGATGAATGAAATGTAGAACCATTTTCTTGTGTGATCTTTGATAGCTTTTACATATACTTTGTAAAAACAGTCACAGAGTGAGGATCAATAGTTTGCATATATCTCATCATCTGAGATTCAGTAAGTTACTGGCTTTATTGTACTTCCATTTCCATCCATGAAAAGTGAGTGATAACGCTGGTCAACTTTCTAAGGCCATTTGAAATCTATGAAAGAAAGCTTTAAGGAGGTGTTACTGACTTTATTTTAACCTTGGTTGTATCTGCTGTCTTCAAAGTTTAAACCTTGCTTGAATAATTTTCATCGTGAGTGGAAAATAATTGAAATGCTAATGATAATATAAGATATTTATAAAACTTTTAAGGTATTTATTTATTTTATTTAGGGTCAAGTTGTTTTCAGAAATGGAGAGAGGATGGGAACCATCAAATTTACGCAATTCCAAGGTAAGTTGCAAACAATTTTATTTTCATTGTAATTATGTATGCCATTTCAAACTTATGTATCAGTTGCATTTGTTTCAGGATGTTTTAAATATCTACCATTATTTTTAAGAGAAACTGCTTGGAAGATGCAGCAAAGTACTTAGAAAGTTTTGTTACTTGTTTAAAATACTGTTTTGAACCCTGTACTCCCTGAGATATTTCCAGATACTTCCAAGAATATTTCTATTAAAAAATCCACATGCTTATAGAAACTACTGATTTATAAAACTGTACTGGTCAGCTAAGAATCCACTTCTTAATACAGTTGTTTCTGAAAACCCTGTCTGAAGAGGAACTTAGAGGGTTTTTTTTGCTGTTTAGCCCTTTCCAGTTATTGTTTGTGCTCTCTGAAGACTTACTTCTGACATTCTGCAACTGCTTGCTGAAAGTTGCTTCAGGAGCCAGTCCCTCAGCGTGCAGAGGACACAAACTGCTGACCCTATCCCTTGGAGGCAACACACTCCATAGTGCAACTCACTGAGCCTGCTGCCTTCTCTCAGCTTGAGCTGCTCCTGTGGAGAATGGTCTCAGCAGTAGAGACCACAAATGATGCCGCAGAGATTTGTCAAGGGTCATTTGCAGCTGGGATGAGGTGCTTGCATGGGAGAGTTTTCTGCAGAAATGGTGATTCGTAAAGGACATTATAGTTGTTTCTACAGGTTGTAGAATGCAATTCATGTTTTTGGTCCTAGACGGAGGCTGAGGTAAAACCAGAGATGATTGCATTTGGATGGTCTTGTGAGAGGTGTAGTGAGAAAGCTGGCATATCCTTTTCAGACAATGCCTGAGAAAGAAGCTTGCACTCCCTTTGTCTTAAGAGATCACTTTAAATATAATCCTGCTGACCAAGTTACAAAGGCTCATCCTTTAAACAGAAATTGTCTGCTGTATGAGCATTATTATTAATGAGCAGCAATACACTTGAAGGGGATCTGTTACTCATTCTAATTTACTGAAGCAGTCTTTGGGATTGCTCTCACAACTATAACTGATGGTATTAACTCATGTTCCCTGAAGCATTTCTACCCACTAAAACTTTACAGATGTGATGTCATGATAATATAATTTAGAAATTCTTGCTCAACACTAATGATAAATATTGATTGCTTCCTCTTTTCCTGCCTGCCCCCACCTCCCATTTCTTTTCATAGTAGCAGCGTTGACAGCCTCATGAAAGAATCATGAGAAAATATTGTAAGGGGATTTTACAAAAGGTGTCTATTAATCAGAAGTCTGAAGGAGAGCCTATGCATTATGCCTAAGGCAACTGCATGTGCCTTGCTAGAGTCTCTGAGCATGGAGGAAGTTTGGCACATTCTCTCTGTGTGTTAAGGATGTGATTGGGGATCATGAGGAGGTACGACGTGCATCTTATGAACTAATCTAGAGGAGCAATAGAAGTCCAGGTTGGCTAATTTATATAGGATTTTATTTCCAACCATTCAAATTTGAGTTTCTTTATAAAAGTTTCAGTTTCAGAACAGATGCTATTTAACACCAATGGTTTTACCATCAATTGAAAGTACTGTTTGGTCAATAAGAACATAGGAGAGAGCCACCCCTTTTATAATTCCTTGCAATTACATAATGACAATTTCAGAATTGATCCAGGCACATACCTGGGATTTTGATCACCAACCAAAGGTTTCCAGTTAACCTACAGGAAAAAGTTTCATTGGAACACAGGCATCCTAGGGAGAGAAGAAGAGCTGGATTTTTTCTTATGCAAACAGTAGTCTGTAAACACATCTTAAGCCCGGTCTTAAGTTTTGTTTACTTTCTTACTAATTTTGGAAATTAAAAGAATGTACAAAAATGTATGAGAAACTGAAATAAGAAACAGCGTAACAACATAGGTGAAAGTAATCTATGTTTTTTTAACTTCAAATTATATTCTAACTTGTTACATTTTCTTTCTTCTTTCATTGGCATTGTTTTTATGCAAGACTTTTATATTCAATATTTGTGGCATAATTGTAGAAATTATTAATTCATTCTGAAGAATTCTTTATTGGTTAGGAAGCTTTCTGAAGCATTCACATTAACTTTTCATAAATCTTGGACTATGGGAGAAGTTCCTAATAATGAAAAGAAGTTAATTAACTCCAATACTTAAAATGGTAAATGGGCTTTTCCTTTGTAGTTATAGCTGTTAGGTGTTGTCAAACTTGAGACAGATATACAACTGATTCATTAAACTTTTTTTTTTAGAATATAATACAAATCATGATGACTTTGAGGAAAAAAAGACCACATCAAAGATGTCTTGTAAATGCTTTCATGAGATTAATTGTAATGAGTCTAGCATATATTAAATGTATTAGTAGCTTATTAACCAAACATAATAATTGAGAGTCATCAGTTTAAGTGTTCTATACCTCAAGAATTATTTCTTCAACTACACTGGTTTACATTTTTGCTAAGAATTTGAATGCAAATGCACAGTTATCACAAATAATTCCATGCAGAAAAATAAAATGGGTAAATAGGTAATCAATAATCAGAAGTAGGATTCTGTGGCCAAAACTGCTGTTTCTCATTTGCCAAGGTAGAAAATCAGCTGGGTAGACTCAGGAGCTTAGTTTTCTGTTCTTTGCTGGAAACTTCTGTGTGAATGAGACTATCTGCAAACATTTTGACTGCAGGAAAAGCAGCCAGCCATATCTGCCAGAGATGAGGGAAAACCAGCCTGTGAGGGTTCAGAGGGTAACTGCAGTACGCCTGACACACTGTGATGAAATTTTGAATACCTGGTTAATTTTGAATCTAGACATAGGTTTTTTCCCAAACTCACACTAGTTTTGTCACTTTTGTCAGCTTCTGTACAGCCTGTTAGTTTTGCAAGTGGTCAAACAGATGATGCCAGAAATAGCTGTTACTTAACTGCTTTATAGATCACGAATACCACCCAGGAATGATTTAGTCTGCGGCAGGGAGTACAAAGCACATGTAACAGCATTTTTTTTCCCCTGCCTTACTGGCAAATAAAGAGCAGTCTGTCAGTCTAGCTCAAATACCCAAGTGGTGTTTGAATTGGGAATCCTTCTGAATGAAGCAGTTTTTCCACAGGTGCAATTAAAGGACTATTCTCACTGTCAGATGTGTATCTGAAGTAGATGGCCAAAGTCTTTTGCCTGATGACAAATGAAAGAGGGTCCTGGCAACGGCTGTGTGCACATCAAGGAGCAGGGAGGGCAGCAACAAAACTGAGATTGTAGGTTGCTGTGAGACAGGAGACTGCAAGAACAGATACATACCTGTCATTCAAAGTGTTTCACTTTGACAGATTGTTTCTGATTAATCTGACTGTGGCCTAAAAGACACCTTGTTTTCAGTCATATTTGTATTTCTTTCAGGCATTAGAGAAAACCTAAAGGTTTTACATGCTAGAATAGATTAAAAATGAAAATTTGAGCTGAATTGTAAACAAGCAGCATTGAAATGTGTATAGATCATGCCTCTTGTAGGTAGAAGCAAAAGTCTGTGCTACTGCATATTGAGAAAACTTGAAAGAAGTGGGTAGTGACCTGCTATGTCTTTTGGGGAAGAAAAGGTTAAAGAATTTAAGAGTTTCAACTCATATAGCCAGGTAATATGATATGAAGTTTGTTAGTGTTGAAGGCTGATCTAGGTACCAAGCAAGAGTGAGAGCATGGCTTGTCAAGTGTAACATCTTTCGTCTCGTTAGAAAAGGCACTACTGGATTTCTGCAGTAAAAGCCCCAGATATTCTTCTCTGAATTTGATCAACAGGAAGACAAACAAATGTGCACTCTACAGTCAAGAGCAAGGTACTTGAGAATCCAGAATTGTTTTCCTGGAGCCTCAGTTCATCTATTTAGTTCTGACTTCTTTGCTGCCCACAGCTGCTTCAATGAAGTAGACATTAGCAGTTCTCCAGAATCACCTACAGATACAATAGCTTGTTCTCCATGGACATCAATCCAACCCTGGAAAAGTTTCATTTTATTACTCTAAATACAAACCAGCAGCCTCTTAACTATGTTTGGTTCTTGCTTTCATAAGGATTCATATAAATAATGAAATTAATTGCCTTGGAATTTTTTTTTTTATTTAACATCTCTCCAGTATATACCCCACAGAACCAGTTTGTGGATTTTCTTTCTCTGAATAATGTTGAAGGAGTATAATCTAATAATCAGAAAATATTTAGTGATGACTCTGAAAACTAAAATTTGAAATACCTCATGTCATGTATCTGGAATCTGTGGTGTCAAATATCCATAATCAGTGAATACAGATTTGCTTCTGCAGCATATGTAAGAAGTGATAAATTCCTATAAATATTTTCAGAGATAAAGGAGTACCTTTGAACAGTCAGATCTGAATTTTAGGGAAAAGTAAATAAAGAAGTACAGAATTGTGTTGGCTGAGCAGGATTTGAATAGTGAAAAATAACTAATAGCTTGTGTCATGTAATGAACAATAAAGATGTAAAACAAACTGTGTGCTGTTTCTCCTGGGCAGCTGGATTCTTTTGGAAAAGATCACTCAGTCATTAAAGACTATCATTTTGCATGCAAAAAGGGAAATTAATTAAGGAGTCAGGAAAGCTTACTTCTGACACACCCTGACTGGAATACTTGACTGCAATCACAAAAATGTGTTTGGTAGACTTCTTAATGTAACATATCCACTCTGTTTTATTTGTATATAAGCAGTGTAGTTAGACTGTAGCCACTCTTATCTTAGTGACCACTGGCTTCTTTAGCTTTGTGATCAATTAATTCTGTAGAATAAAGTCCAATAAACAGTACCCATAGTGGTGTGGTGGGTAGACCCTGACTGGATGCCAGGTGCCCACCAAAGCTGCTCTTTTACTCACCCTCTATAGCTGGACAAGGGAGAAAAAATATGAGGAAAGGGTCATGGGTTGAGATAAGGACAGGGAAATCACTCAGAAATTACCATCACAGGCAAAACAGACTCAACTCAGGGAAA